CTTCTAAAAATTTAATTGTTTATTCTGTGTGAACTAACTTAAAAAGTAAGCGTGTAGAGACATTAGAATATTCCGAAACAGGAGAGATGAAAAATGAGCGACGTCTTCGCCGGGACTAGAGCCACTGGCCTCTCGAATACGCGCCGAGCGTGTTGACCACTACACTACGAAGGCATGCTGAGAAGGCGGGAGAAATACCTTATAAGCGAATAAATTATTCTCCAGCTTGAATTATAAAATCTTTCGAAGGTTATAAATTAAATAAAATCTGTTACAGTTCCTTAATCAACAGTTTAAATGAAAACTATTGATTTACAGTTTAAATGAAACTGACACTAAAATCTGAAGAATAGCTATAATGCATCACAAAAGATAAATTAACCTCAGTATTCAGCAAGAAAAATAAGTAGCAAAAAGTTACAACATCAGTTAGTTGAGAACTCGGTTTGTAACTAAAGTTATGCCAGAATGTTCCAAATATTTCGAATTTGTTTTACCCCTTTTTGAATTAACGCAATAAACATTTTATAATCCAACCAGAGATTTTTCATTCGAAGCTGGTGCTGCCATACACTGCATTCGTGTTTTTATAAACAATATTACTTTAAAGTTCTAAAATTGTTAAAAATTAGAACTGCAAACAAAATATCAAAGAGGTAATCATACAAAGAGATGGTTCATTTTGTAATTCAAATGCACTGAGCGCCGCCTGAGATAACCACTGACCTAACTTTGTTGTAAAAGTCTTACAGTGTTAGTAGTCATCCTCGCAGAAAGGATTATTTCCTTCCGTATAAAAACATAAATATTACATGGGCATATAAGGCCTGTGTATAAGCATAGATATGTTAGATTACAAACATTGTCTTGTACAAGTTACATATGACTAGATACATAAAATCATGAAAAGCTTATGTGCACATTTAGAACATTATCTGAATTCCATATTTTACAATACTTTTACTGAAGATAATCAAAATTAAACTTGTAATTCCTTTACACATTGACTGGATTTTCTAATATCCATTTTTAACTGCTTTACAACATTATTTTTAACAAGTACATATAAACTGGATAGTAATATGCTTACATTACAATAGTTTTGCTCTTACAGTCCTGTTATTATTCTACGGGGTGAGCTATTTTCCCTAGTGTTGATGTTCAGTGTTTGTAGTATTTTGAATTGCTATTAAAATTATGCTGCGAAGATACAATTCTCAAGAGAGGGGGAGAATTTCTTAGAATCTTGCTGAGCAAAGCCTGATTACCTCCTCTATTTTAGTTTTCGTCTGCTTGTTGCCGCGGAAAAATCCGTGAGGAATTATATGATGACTTATATTCTACCAACTGAAGTTGAATTTAATGATGCACAGTATCACTTACGGATATATATAATTATTTTTTAAAAGCTTACGCATCGGCTCCTCAGTTAAAAGTAATTCCTCATTCCTGTTAATTTAGTTATAGCTTTCAGCGCAAATTTCAGATGCAATTAAAATCTTGCTTCTAGTATTTTTACGACTACACAATTATAATACGAAACCAGGAACATCTGTTTGTAAAATTTTATATATGCAGAGGATTCACGACTTATAGTAGCTGATATGTGATTTTTTTATTGTTGTTGTTTAACAATGCTCAGAATGCGCTGCGCGATTCGTTGAAACTATACTTCGAACTTCGAATCTTCATCATATTATAGGCTAACAATATGAGCTACAAATAAAAAAATGTACAATTTTTATGCGATAGTGTTGAAGGTTATGGGGTGTTCTTACTTGTTGTGTTTCGAAAAACACATGTACATTTATTTAAATTTCTATTATTTTTAACTGCATGCCTCCCAGACTGTATAGTGGTTAGGGAAGGCGACTGCAATACCATAGGGCCCAGGTTCGAATCCCGGAAAAAACACGGTTGTAATTGTTCGTCCCTTTATATAGCATATAGCACCACTGAGCAGGCTTCCGACCTAAGATTATCTAAAAGATTACCAAGCGGAATGGTGCCTGATCAGTGGAAGTCTACTACCAGCTCCGTCATAGCCTCAGTTGGCCAAGGCAGATCAGACAGGCATTCATTTAACATAATCAAGTTATAGAGTCACAAGCCAAGAATAATTACTTTGTCATCTTTGTGTGATATTACAACATTAGGAATTCAGTTACAAACCAATGAATATACCGTGTACTTGATACTTAGTTACAAATTCTCGCAGTTACGTAATTTGTACTGTTACATATAATAAGAAATGCTGTTATAGAAATCTTTACACGCTGTTGAAATATTGCGCAGTTGCATGAGTTACAAAAAAAAGGGGGGGTAGGTTATGCACGGTTATTTACGCAGTATTGCAAAACACGGTTAACACTGTCAGGCACTCAAAACAAAACGACCCTGTAATTTATATACGAGCAATATAATACAGAGTATTTCAGACATAAGTGTGGAGGTACGTAATTCACGGTGACGCATATAATTCGCAGTTACGTAGGCAGTTGCGTAGATAATACACAGTAATATTCTCAGTTACAGTAATACACAGTAACAGTTCCAGTTAAAAAAATTTTTTAAGCAGGAGAAATTTTATAGCAGAGCAAATTCGTCTAAAAATGTGCAGGCAGCTTCTGCTTATGATCTTGTTTACAGCAACATGGCCGCTACCTAATAACTACTTTTCAATATTTTAAGCATTCATCAATATTTTAAGCATCAGGCCCACTGGATGAATGCTGTGTAGTTATAGAAGTTTTCGTTTTTAGAACCTTATTGAATAAGATACCTTTTTAGTACATTTAATAGAGTTTTTAACACAAATTTTATTTTAGTTTATCATTTAATAAGTTTAACACTTTGCTATAATTGTAAATTTTGTTCAATTTTATGCTTATGTTATTCTTTTGAGAGCATTAAGCCATGGTGTTTGATAGAAAACCGTGACTCTGACTAGAAGTCTTAATATTCAGCAAAGTATATTAGATGCATTTTCGATATAACTACATTTTAAACTTAAAATTGGGTTATAAGAACGGACACCATCATAAGACGAAAAGCACTTACGCTGCGATAAACTTTGCTATCAAATAAACAGCTGAAAACCAAAATATCATATTCCATCGCAAAAAGAAGTATATATATAAAACGTAAAAACGGAAATGACTTCCAACTTCCATGAAGAGAAGTCAAATATTTTAAATGAATTTTTTTACAGAATGCAATTTTAGATGGAAGCAATTTCACTTGATTGAAGAAGCTTTTATTAGTGCATAAAATTTCTGAGGGATGACGTTTTAAAGGGCATCCCTAGTGTTTAAAGTATTGTTAACTGTATGGGAAACAAGAGATGTGGCTATGGCTTATTATGCTGCTTATTAGACGTCAGGAACAATACCGTAATATAATAGTGCCCTTTTTTTTCCATCGAGAGCGATGTACATTAAGATGATATTAAAACCGTCGAGTAATTAACCGTCGAGCACGATATAATTATAACGAAAACTTTAAACCAAATGCTTTTGAAGAACTCAAGAAATATAACAAACCTGAAGAAATTGCTGACAGATCCTGAAAGATTATTAAAATAAAAAAATAAAAAAAAAAAAAAAAATAGAGAGATTGTGTTTAAATTGGGATCTCGGGCTGAAGTTACTCGTTTAGAAGAAAACCTTAAAAGCATGCAAAATCTGAAAGATACAGTTATAAGAAAGCGCTACATTTCTCCGAAGCTTATTATCTACGCCTACGGCTTTCCCCGCCATGTTGATAATGAGCCAATGCCCTAAAAATGAATTGTGTTTACGAAGACAGAAAATCCGGGATAAATCTCTTTGAAATACGAAAAATATAGACTTAATGCAAGCATTAGTCGTAGAGCGTTTTCAAATAGTTGAAGAGAGAAGTATAACAGTCTTTTGGATTATGTATACGGTAAAACTATTCTTCCGACCCAGGAGATATTATAACTGTCAACAATATGAGCATATAGCCTAAATAATGTGAAGATGAGACTATCTGTCCATACTGAGCAGAATCGCATGAAATCTCTACCTGCAAACGCGAACTGCTTACGCTACATAAACTTCCAGATTTGGAATAATAGCCTAAGAACAAAATTGGGCTCAAGGCATGAGCGGTATTTTCCTTTACACGTGACAGCACATGAAAGCTTAAAGAAACGAACAGATTTCGAGTATTGAACTCGAATATAACTATGTATTTGTATAACTATGTATTTGTATCCTCATTTTTAGCTTCTGGAATTATATATTTTTCGTATTATTGTACTTTATAATTTTTCATTTTTTATTTATTTTATTTAATTTCGCATTTTTCTTTCCATTTTATTTTGCTTTACGCTTTGCGCTCTGTTCTTAGCCTGACAAATTTTAACTGTCACTTTTGTATTCATATGATTTTGTATTATTTATATTTTAAATCCACTAATTCATCGGATATAAATATTTTATTTTATTTTATTGTACACATATATTTTATCTTGAGAGATTATAGTATTTGATTTCAGCTTATTTATTCTGATTTTAAATATTGATTTCTAATTTGAGGTTCTCAAATTGATTTTATTATTCTGATTCTAAACTTTAATTTATGTCATAAATTATATATTCAGTTAAATTAAATATTATAATTTAACTGAATATATAATTTCCTTTCCCCTAAAATTTCAGATTCTTATATTTGTGAATTCTGGTGTTGTATATGTAAACATACATAAACTTGATCATACTTAATATATCATGCATAAATTTTAAACTAACACGAACATTCTAAATATAAATGCAAATTATGGAACTGCTGCAGGCATGCAGCAGTTCAAAAACATATTCATTCTGCGAAGAATATACATAATATTAAACAGGATATTATTACAATATATAGCAATCTTATTACATTAAGGGCAAAATAGCATACAGAAATAAGAAATAGAAACCAAAAATGGTAAATAGCCGCTATAATTTAAAAAAAAATGAAATTAAATTTACTACAAATGTAACTGAAGAAGTGATTGCATCTCTTATAATAGAACTTGCTAGGATTGCCTTTAGTATCAACTCTATTTCTCCCAGGCGATAGACTTTGTTTTTTTTTTTTTTTTTTTTTTTTTTTACACTGTAGAGACATTAGGGATTTTTTGAAGCAGAAGTACATGAAAAATGAGCCGTGCCCTCCTCGGGACTCGAACCTAGACTTCTCAAATACCCGACGATTGTGCTACCGTTACACCACGAATGAAAGCTGAAAAGAGAGAGAAAATACCTGATAACACAACTAGAGACGATTTTTAAAATTTATAAAACATTTTTATTAGCAGATGTTTTTTAATTCTATGCGTTTTATTGAGGAGTAATTTTGATTCTAAATGTGTTTTAACGTGTGCTTTTACTATACAAAATAATCTTATATTAATTAATGAAATTAGTATTTGGCACAAACTTTTCTTTGCCTGCGGGGGATAGATGGACGGATCTGGTTTTAGTTCAACAGGCATACACTCTAACAAGATTAAAATGGACATTTATAATGAAGAGAGTGTCAGTGACCATAAATACACTTATATTGATTTAGATCACCTCATAATACCAAATTAAAGGGAAAATAAAATTATTAGAAATAAACTTAAGTTTTATATTTTAGCAAGAAGTTGACATGTTTTATCTTAAGTAGGATAATATCTAGTAACTACGCAGAGGATCTGGAAAACATTGTGTTGGAATATGAAAATTTTTTAAAAGATATATCACTGACAGCTTATCAATTGAAAACATAAAATAAGATCAGTTAAAAGAGGTGGCCTAGGGATCTCTGGAACTAAACACGCAACAAAGAAAATTACTCTAAAGAAAAGCAGTCAAAATTAAGACACCAAATACCATATTAAAACCTAAAGTAAAATCAAATATGAAAAAGAATTTTCTGCTGTAAAAGAAATATAAAAGAGAGACAAATAAGTATATGAGATTAAAACTTTCTAGACAATAAAAAATATCACGATAATAATTTTAAGACAGCTGTAAGCAAGGAGAACAGCCCACTTTTGAATAAAAATGTTACTTGATATTTTTTTAGCCCAAAAAGGACGTTAGTTCCGTGAGTGAGATATTAGTCTCGAAACGGCATTTTGCGTCGAATCAACTGTTAATGGCGTATAACTTTTCAAACTGTTGTTATAAAATATAATCGCCCTGCATTATATTAAAACAAATTAAATAATGAGGAATCTGCAGGAATGTTTCTCTGCTGTGAAAAAAAAAGGTACCTAGATCCATCAAATTTTGAATAACGTAGTCCTCCACCCAAACAAGGGCATTTGGAAAACCGAATTCTGAATTTCGAATTTGTTTTATTATCTACTTCATACTTCGTAAAATTTAAATGAATTTTTGATTAACAAACTCAACGATTTCAAAGCAAGCAGTGGCAACACTATACGGAATAAAACACTTTTATCTCCGGCACGCGAGAATGTCTACCAGAAATTCTAAAGATATGCTATTTTTAAACATTTTGTGATTTTGCGGTTGAATAGAGTTTTATGTGGCGTAAACGCAAAAGAATGTGATATTTAATAATTAAAGTAAACACACAAATCTTTGATAATGAAAAGACAAAAAAAAAAAAAAAAGTTTTGTAAATCCATTTTAGTAAGAAAACTGAACATTGATATGATGATTATTGGAGAAATTAAAACAACAAGAATCATCGCGATGTTTGTAAATGTTGCAGGACTAGTTTCGGTGGTTTAAATACAGAACCAGCTTCTTCAGCTGTCTAAGTGCAAATTGAACGAGATAGAATATGGTGATAAGATAAGAATGACTGGAAAGTAATGAAGCTACTGGCGCCATTCATTGATGAAGGAATAAAAGTAAGATATAATTTTCTTAGTGGCTGAGGGTAAAGATAGATTGGAAATAAGGTCGTTAACTAGAACAGAATGTTTGGTTTTGAATGTGAAACGCCTCTAGAAAATTTAATTTACCAAAGGAAGTTTCTTGAATAATTTTGGCTGCAGAAAAGTAAAAATGGTATTTTCTGACCAACACAGATAGGCAACAGAGGATTTCTGTGTTTCCTTTTGCCTAACATATGCCTCACATTCTTTAACGCGAAATTTTAACTCTCTTAGTTTGACCAATGTAAATTAAGCCCCATTGGCAAGGAATCCTGTAAATACCCCAGGAATTCATATCCGGAATGAGGTCCTCAAGTATGAACCTGGGAATTTCGTTGATAGAAGAAAAAACGAACCGAAATTTCTGTGAAAATGCATGCAAGAAATGACAATAGAATTCCTGTAATCTCCTAAAACCTGAGGGGGGCTTTTGATGTGTTGAGATGAGAATTTTTCAACCACTTGGTTAATAATGTTGGCTGAAAAGTCCCTGTCAATAGCAACTGCTTTTATGTAATTTAGTTTATGACGTTGCGTGGCCCCAACTTGTCAGCAACAGTAGTAGTGACTGCTATGAACTGTAAATTATACCAACTCGTAAGAAGGGTTTAAATCCTTTTTTACTTCACTTTAGAAATCACAGTTGCGTTCACTCGACGCTCACAAACTACGCCGACCCGGCGGTTAAACAAAAATAGAAAAGTACAACTAAAAATAAATGACAGGATGAATAAATAACGAAGTCACTATCTACGAGGCTCTATAATCGTAACTAACTTAACCGCGTTCTAAGATACAGCTGAGATTCAGCAAACTTACTGATTAAGAAGTTGAAAGATTCAACGAACTGCCGAAATAGGCACACAGGCCGAAACGCGCGGTTCTTAAAAATTTCTACCTAGCAACCTTCACGCTCGCGATTCAAGAAGCACACTTACAATCTCGTTTCCCTTATATTTAAACTCAACTTACTTCTGCTAAAATTTGAATAATCTGCGCGTTCTACTAAAATTTACATACTCTGGCATTGGCAATTCTAGGGGAAAGTAAAGGCTTGACAGGAAAGATAGCTTAAAATAAATGTTAGTTAAAATAAATATAAACCCTACAAGTTCGTGATCAAGAGCCAGTTTGGAGGAGCAAACTTGAAGTGTATGGAAAACAAACGAATAAAATAAGCTAACTTCTGTTTAGTCTAAAAACATGATCTGAAGTGTGGTGGAAAGCAAACCGATGGAGGTTTACGGTAAACAGTACTGAAGTTGGATATGTTACCTGTGACCAAAATGTCGAGGAGCGGAAGAGAACTGGATGTCTCAATTTCAAAAGCGAACTGAATAGCCAAGATCAATGGAATTAATTCATTATTGGATGAACTTTAATTTAAATCATCTTTATTACAGTCAAACACGGTGGTACTGTTCTGTTATCAGAACCGGATTTAGAAATGTATGTACACGTGCATATATGTAAGCACGTATGTGTGTATATGTATGTGTGCACGAATGTATGTGTCTGTATACATATATACACAAACATACCATACCCACGCATGCATTTATACATCCGGGTCCCAATAACAGAACAGTACGAACTGGTTAACAGTATCGTCTACATAGCGGATCCATACCGTGAAGTTTAAAATTTCAAGTAATTTTGATTCCTAATAATGCATGTAGATACCAGCAAGGATGAGATTAAGAGAACATCCCAAGGCTAATTCCTCAGTTTGCTTGTATTACTTATTTTGGAAAACAAAATGCGTTTGTTTCAAACATAGCTGAGTAAGGGAAATTAGCTCATCAGTTTGGATGCAGGAGAAATGAAATTCACGAAGTCTGATTACTAGACATCTTAAGCCCCTTCATCTGGAACATTGGTGAATAATCATTTTACATCAAAAGAAACCACGATTAAATTCCTATGAAAATGTTTTTAATATTCTTTATGAACTCTATTGAATTTTTTATGGTGTAAGTCTTAGCTAATAAAGGTGAAAATCTACAAACTCAATATTTACCTAACGGGTACGAGGCAGTGCCTAGATTTGATACAATAGGGAGGAAAGGAATACCACTTTTATGAATTTTGGGAAGAGCATATAATGTGGCACAATTCGCAACAGATAGGATTAAACGACTTTTTTTAAATGGATCGGAAATATTTGTGAAGATTTGATCGCAGTTTTTATTTTTGAGAGGTCCGGAGGTGAACAGATATTCAGGGATCGGATTGCATAGTCTTTCGTTTAAGTGTTTAGTGACACCATCTAAGTAAGTGTTCTTGTTCATAACGACTATCTGGCCACTTTTGTAGGCCTTTGAAATGATAATGTCCGCGTTAGAATGAATTTCCCGCACAGAAGCTTTTTCTCTCACGTTCAGATTTGGTTTCAAAGGCTACTAATTCCCGAGCATGGTGTTAGCGTGCCCGGTCAGGGTACATTTCTATAGATGGTTAGTGCAGTGGGGCGATACCAGTTTTGCCCATGGCGATGTTTTGGTGCCTCCTGTACTTCTTTCTGTCTGTCTGTTAAATTTCATTTTATGGGAGATAAGATGCCTAATCATTTCTTTTTGTGTATCTGAAACTTTCTGTGTATCTGAAACTTGGGCAGAATTTGAAAACTTTCTCGATAGGAGCTAAAATCTTTGGAAACGAAGGTTTTTGAGTTTTGTGAGAAGTTAAAATTATATTTAAGAATTCTTCTGATAAACTAACACTAGAAATATTAATTATTGGCTTAATGTTTACAATAGGAAGCTTTTTTGAACTACTTAAATTGGAAGACTGTGAAAGAAGATTTTGGAATTCAAATGCAAAGGTGTTTTTATGACGGTTAACTTCATTCTCAGTTCGGGACCAGGACTTCTGTTTAATGGCAGTGAATTGATTAATGGCAGATGAAGCATTTATAGCTCAAGTTAAATTTTGGATAACTGTTGACGTGTATCCTTATGATGAACCGAAGCAAGGCTAGTTTGCAATTTAAAAGAAGTTTTGAAACACGATTGGAAGATTTTTGATTAGACTTAATCAATGAAATTGGGGATCAATGTTTTAACTTTTCGCTTTATTAACAAGTTAAGGTGTTTCAGAAATTTCTGTCGTTTCAGGCGTAATTTAGTGAAATAATTAATGGATGAAGGCATGATAAACAATGAGAAAAATTAAACTAACTTAACTAATCAATAATAAAGCTCAAAACATTGGAAAAAGTTCACGATGCAAATGAATACAAAATAAAATATTTGCAACCAGCAAGCCCGAAATCAAATGAGCAAAGCACAAAATCAAATAAGAAAAATTAAAGATTGTAAACCATTAATCAAACTTAAAAAAA